GGGGGGGGGGGGGGGGGGGTTGTTTTTCTCTTACATTGTTTTTTATGTGTTTTTATTGCTACCTCTCTACTTTATTTTTTCTTTTAAATTTGTATACTCTTAAGTGTAAAGTGCTATGAGAATTAACTTTTAAAGGCACTATATAAAAATAAATGTATTATTATTATCATTATAAGTACAGTCAGGCTCTTGCCCACTGGGCAGTGGAATGCTCAACTAAACCTACTAATAGGTAAGGAGCATCGGCTCAACCCAATGCCTACACCTTGGGCTAAAGAGAACCTAATTGGGGATTTCTAAAAGACCACAGAAACCCATGAGTTCACCAGAACAAAGGCCAATTAGGGCCCTTATCTCCTGACTTTCAACAGGAGAGGCCCATGGGCGGGAGGGGGCCCTACTACCCAGTATTGAAAGTCAGTGGTAGAGAATGAAGGCCCCACGTGCACTGGAAGATATAGCTAAGGTTAGCAAGAACATTAGCGATAACAGTATCTGTGGTAATGAGATGGATCTTACTCACCCACCACAGGTGGCCCACAGGAGCACGAGGGGAGTACAGTCAAGCTCCTAGCCCCAGAGAGCATGGTATGCTCTACCAAACCCACTCACGTGTAAAAGAGCACCAGCTCAGTTCAGGGCCAAGCATCAAGGAGGCTCGCAAACCTAGACTTGAGAAACAGGAGGAGCCTAATTGAGAAGGCCTAGTAGCAGGCCATACAGCCCAAGAGGTCCCCAGGGTGGGGCAGATTCCAACACACGGGGCCTACAACCCCGACTCTTAGACAGAGGAGGCTCACAGAGAGCCATACAAACCTGAAATGAAAGAAAAGGCACACGGCATAGGCTCAGCATGTATATGTCATATACTGTACATGCAGTATAATGTTGCTATTTGATGAGGACATTAAATGAGTCATATGTGTCCTAACAGCTGCAGATTAGATTTCCACAATATACAATTTCTTATGTATAAGGAATTAGAAACATCAACATTACTGATAGGGAAACATTTTCCTGTCAGTTCCCTTCCATGCTCCACCTATAAATCCTGCAAATAGTCTGATTAATTGCCTCGTCAACAGCGGGACTCGAACAGCGGGTGATAGGCAGAGAATTCTCACTGCAATCACAACGCGTAGGATGCATTCAGCTCCCACGGGAGCTAACCACGCTTCCTTCAAGTGCTAGATTTCCTCGGAAATCAAGCTAGAACATAAACCGCTGACGCGAATGCATCGCTATGAGTTTGGTTAACTCCCACAAGAGGCAAACGCACTCATGCAAATGCTGTCTACAATCTCAGGTAAATGGTGAAGCACTCAACCATGCAGTATTCCTGCAAATGCATCACAATGAGCAGAATCTGCCTCCTTGTGAGTCGAACATGTTCAATTCATGCTTATCCACAAGAAATGAGTGCAATGAATGCAATGAGCGCATTCAACTCCCTCAAGAGCTGAACGCGCCTGCTTCTCACCCACACACACAACACATAAGATACGTGAAACCACGGGTATTAGAGCAAAGCCTCTGACGAGAGAACATGCACTCCTAGTCGTGCTTAGCTGCTAACATAGACAAATGGCAGTGAAGACGAGGAAGAGGATGACATATTCTCCTGATGCTCTTTCATACTGTGGCTGCACCAGTAGTGATGTCACAGGCTGTCGCCTGGCCAATGTTGCTGTGTTTAATTCCCATAGCGACCGCTAGAGGATGCGGTTCGAGTTCCCTCGAAAAAGAATCACATTTTAATTAGTGCTGTCAAACGATTAATCATGATTAATCGCATCCAAAATATTTTTTTTTTTTACATAATATACTGTATGTTTGCGTACTGTGTATATTTACTGTGTATATATAAATAGACACACATGCATGTATATATTTTGAAAATATTTACATGTATTTACATGCATATATGTATATTCATATCATATTATTTATAAATATATTTAACATATAAACATTTTTCTTAAATATATACATGCATGTGTGTGTATTTATATATACATAATAAATATACACAGTACACACACATATTCTGTAAAAAAACAACTTTTATTTTGAATGCGATTAATCGCAATTAATCGTTTGACAGCATTAATTTTAATATATTTATATTCACATCGAATCTCCAAATGAATGTATAAACAACATAAAGATGGTATATTTTAAATATGTGTTTAATGGCATCTTTTTACTTAGTAGTCTATTATTATTGTAGGCCAGTAGCTACTGGCCTACAATAATAATAGACTACTAAGTAAAAAGATACCAATACTGACTGCTACTGATGTCTCTATTAAATGCATTTTTTCCCTCGATTTTTAGCCATTATTTTATAGCCATTCAACATTATAGTATAATTGAAGGACATTATTTAAACATTTAATAGGCTTAGAAAAATATAACAACTTTTCATTTAAGTGAACTTAATCCTCACATAAACATATAAATAGTATATGCATAAAATATAAATTCAATATTTAATTGAATCTTTATTTAAGCTACAAAAGTGAATCAGCGAGCAAAGCACCGAGTTATTACTCTTTTTCTTTTGTTCTTTGATTTACATCAATTACACAGACTGCAGCAGGTTTTACTTTAAAAGCAGTGCTGTCTCTTTAAAACCTGACATGCATCTGACACACATCTGATTTTCTCCTCTTTACGTTCATTTAGGACTTTTTAGCTAATTTAAGACTTACATAATTGTGTGTGTTATTGTCCATTGGAGCGTGAAAAAGATGGTTTCTTGATGGTTCTACACCTAATTCTTCACCTTAATTCTTAATACTTTTGCAGTTAACGTGTCTTTTCTTCTCCACCTGTTTTTTTTCTGACCCCGCTGACCCAATGAGCACTTTGCTGTCCAATGGTCATGTCATAACTTTGCAATTTCTGTATTACATTAGTTTTGAATATTTCTCATGGGGATTTAATCATTTTTGACTTATTAGTCACAGGTGTTTGTTCATCAGCATTTTATAACACCACTGAATGAATCTCATCAAGTAAAAATTTACAGTAGTTGATCCTTGATGAAGCTTACTTACTGATGATGTGTACTGATGTCAGGTTCGTTACTGTACCTCACTGGATGAAGAAGAAAAGCGGGAATTAAAGATCTTCAGTAACCAGCGAAAGCGAGACAATCTAGGCAGAGGCACTGTTCGACCTCTACCCCTCACTGTAACTGGAGCTATATGTGAACAGGTACATATACGAGTACTAAATAACACCACGTATACCTTACCCTAACCTGGCACACATTTATGACAATGAAAACAGTATTCATCTTTTAGTGGAGATGCAAGCTTCCATTTCTAACCCTCGTCATCTCACTGATAGTCACTATGTGGCCACCACCAGTAAAGTTATACATTGACTGATCGACCAGTGAATTACTTTTCTGGACTAGTGAACAGGATTAGAAAAAATTAATTGCCATGCAAACCCTAGATGTAGTAAAAATGTTTCAGTATATTTTTCAGTAATGATTAAACATGGCATGTTACGCAGAGAGGCTGCCAAATGACATCATGTCCTTCTCACACAGTGTGGAGACCAGATCAACGGTGGTGACATTGCAGTGTTTGCCTCACGGGTTGGCCATGGCCTGTGTTGGCACCCTCACTGTTTCGTGTGCCGTGTGTGTTCTGAGTTATTGGTAGATCTCATCTACTTCTACCTGGATGGCAAGATCTACTGTGGCCGCCACCATGCTGAACGACTCAAGCCACGTTGCTCAGCATGTGATGAGGTAAGCCAACAGTGTAAAGTACAATCATCTGTTCACTGGCTGAAATCAACCTTGATCTCGTTAGCATGCCTACACATTTCCTGTAGGTTACCTTTGACAAGCCAGTACCCAGAAGCCTTGCTTTAGAATATAAAACTCCTTACTTAATTTGTATCTCTTTTTGTAGATTATCTTTGCAGATGAGTGCACAGAAGCAGAGGGGCAGCACTGGCACATGATACATTTCTGCTGTTATGAGTGTGAGGCCCCACTAGGAGGTCAGCGTTACATCATGCGTGAGGGACATCCTCACTGCTGCAACTGCTTTGAGTCACTTTATGCAGAATACTGTGAATCTTGTGGAGAGCACATAGGTAAGGAAGGACCTCCATGAATCTTGTTTTCTTTCTTCCCTCATTACAGTACAACTGCTTCTGGGTTTTGCTTTTATTCAGGTAGAATAATAAAATGATCACACAAATGAGTGCTGCAAATCAGCACTGCATGCAGCAAAATGAACAAATATATTATACATGTTTTTTCTAAGATCACAGTAGATTCCACACATACCCACATATCTTATGGCTATCTATAAATGAATGGATGCACATACATGAACGCACAGCCATTTGCGTTTCTAATCTCCATGACATGAATCTGCTGTTGTGTTTCCTTAGACTGCTATTTTTGACTTTTATTCACAAACTTAAGCTGTTTGATCATTTTTGCTCAAAGAGCTCTAAATTACACTAAATTAGCCCTAAATTACAGATTACACTTACAAGTATGATTGGACTGCATTTGTGTCAGAGAGTCACCCCACATCTGAATATGTCTACTTCCCTACTATATAGTAGAATAAAAGCAATTCATGAATAATGCAATAAAATATTGCAATAAAAGCATGCTAAATAAGTAGTTTGTCTGAATTCGCACTATTCATAAAACATTCGGTTTCCATTTCTAACCCTCGTCATCTCACTGATAGTCACTATGTGGCCACCACCAGTAAAGTTATACATTGACTGATCGACCAGTGAATTACTTTTCTGGACTAGTGAACAGGATTAGAAAAAATTAATTGCCATGCAAACCCTAGATGTAGTAAAAATGTTTCAGTATATTTTTCAGTAATGATTAAACATGGCATGTTACGCAGAGGCTGCCAAATGACATCATGTCCTTCTCACACAGTGTGGAGACCAGATCAACGGTGGTGACATTGCAGTGTTTGCCTCACGGGTTGGCCATGGCCTGTGTTGGCACCCTCACTGTTTCGTGTGCTGTGTGTGTTCTGAGTTATTGGTAGATCTCATCTACTTCTACCTGGATGGCAAGATCTACTGTGGCCGCCACCATGCTGAACGACTCAAGCCACGTTGCTCAGCATGTGATGAGGTAAGCCAACAGTGTAAAGTACAATCATCTGTTCACTGGCTGAAATCAACCTTGATCTCGTTAGCATGCCTACACATTTCCTGTAGGTTACCTTTGACAAGCCAGTACCCAGAAGCCTTGCTTTAGAATATAAAACTCCTTACTTAATTTGTATCTCTTTTTGTAGATTATCTTTGCAGATGAGTGCACAGAAGCAGAGGGGCAGCACTGGCACATGATACATTTCTGCTGTTATGAGTGTGAGGCCCCACTAGGAGGTCAGCGTTACATCATGCGTGAGGGACATCCTCACTGCTGCAACTGCTTTGAGTCACTTTATGCAGAATACTGTGAATCTTGTGGAGAGCACATAGGTAAGGAAGGACCTCCATGAATCTTGTTTTCTTTCTTCCCTCATTACAGTACAACAGCTTCTGTGTTTTGCTTTTATTCAGGTAGAATAATAAAAATTATCCCACAAATGAGTGCTGCAAATCAGCACTGCATGCAGCAAAATGAACAAATATATTATACATGTTTTTTCTAAGATCACAGTAGATTCCACACATACCCACATATCTTATGGCTATCTATAAATGAATGGATGCACATACATGAACGCACAGCCATTTGCGTTTCTAATCTCCATGACATGAATCTGCTGTTGTGTTTCCTTAGACTGCTATTTTTGACTTTTATTCACAAACTTAAGCTGTTTGATCATTTTTGCTCAAAGAGCTCTAAATTACACTAAATTAGCCCTAAATTACAGATTACACTTACAAGTATGATTGGACTGCATTTGTGTCAGAGAGTCACCCCACATCTGAATATGTCTACTTCCCTACTATATAGTAGAATAAAAGCAATTCATGAATAATGCAATAAAATATTGCAATAAAAGCATGCTAAATAAGTAGTTTGTCTGAATTCGCACTATTCATAAAACATTCGGTGAAAACTGCCCAGATGATGCATTTTACAATAATATGTGTAGGACGAGAGAGGACGCTGGCATTTTTTGTTCGCCGCTTCTCCGTTGTAACAGTTTCTTTGTTTTAATAGTTTTAACAGTTTTTTTTTTTTTTTTTTTGCACGGATTGTTTTAAATTGCATTTCATCAAATTGAATTTAGTTCATAAAGGCAGTGCAAAAATATTAACTGTTAACTGTGTATCTATTTTTGGTCCATATGTGATACCTCACTTGCTTGGGTGTGTTTGAAAGTGCTAGGGACAAAAACTAACAATAATTTTATTATGTAAAACAATAATTGACCACAGGTTTAATTGATAATTGAGCATTTTTGTTTTATTTATGAAGCTAGTTTAGATGTGCATTTAAAAAAAAAAAAAAAAAAAAAAAGCACACCTTAAGCCCTGTTTCCACCGCAGGAACTTACTCCAGGAACTAGGGACTTTGGGCCAGTACTCAGTTTGTTTCCACCGCAGGAACCAGGATCTAAATAAAGTTCCGGGTAAAAATGTTCCCCTCAGAAAGTCCCTCCTCGCGAGGTAGTACTTTTTCAAATGTCCGGAACTTTCGGGGGTGGGACTTGGGCGCTGAACATGCTGATTGGTTGAGTTCATGCAACTGTAGGTGCGTTCGACTTCATGCAGCGCTGCGCAGACTGATCGGTGGCTGACTTGAAGCAGTGCATGCCGGTTAGAAATTTTGTCCGACTTGAACCGGTGCCGACACCACGTCACTGTCACCTGTGCGATAGTGTTTCGAGAGCAGCCGGCTGACTCAGCTGGCGCAGCTTTTTCAGAGCGACTGCAGGAGCGCTGATGATGACACAGCTGTTTCACAATTGACCAAATTCACCACATGACAACGATGACGTGTTTCTAACATCTTCAATTCCAATACTGCTCACAAATCTGTTTTTAAAACAGTAAAAGCTTTTTTACTGTAGTTGCAATGTTATATTGAGTAACATTTATCAAAAAAACACTGATAAAAGCATATATTCCCCCACTATTGCTATTTAAATAGTATATGTTTATGTTGAACTTTATTCTTGAACAGATGGCGCTGTATTAAGCAGTAAATCATATTTCTGCTTGAATACAGCTCAGTATATTCACGTAGTTGAATACAGCGAGTGTTTTATAATGGAGGCTCGTGTGTTTTAGAGAAGTTTGTGAGGATCAGTGGTGTTTATGTACATATGGGCATCAGACGCTCCAAACAGCTTGTTCTGACAGAGGAACTATTCACTGTGACGTCGAGCCGCCTTCAGAACGCTGAGTTCAGAATGGTTTCATTTTTCATTTGTATTTTGGTGTGTTTAGTGATTCTGAATGGACCCGTATAGTAGTTTATTTGCAGTCCTTTGGCATCTCCCTGTGGTATTGTTTGGTATGGCAGGGTGACTTGTGCTTATGTTAAAATTACTGTATAATTGAGCTTTACATAATTTTAAGTTGTATAGAATATCTGCAGTGACATTTTTGCAAAGTATGTTTGCAAAAAAGAACATGGAATGTTTAAATCTATCTGGAATTTGATTTGTTTAAAAAAATTACATGTAATTGAAAAGTAATAACAAATACAAAGGTTTTACAAAGGGGTCTTGGATAAAAAAGGTTGAGAACCACTGCTTTAGGTAAATGCAGGCACAGTTCTACAGGGATACTAAGAATTGAAAATTATTTTATTATTATTGTTTTTTTTTTATTTAAAATTAAATTAATGCAATATAATGATACATCCCAACAAGCTTTTTTATTTATTTATTTTATATGTATTTTATTATTTATTTATTTTTCACTTGGTATATCTCTGTAAGTTTCTCATTTGAAAAGTAGATTATTCCACAAAAAAAGTGTGGGCACCCCTGAATTTACTGATGTGTCAGTCGGTACGAAATATCTTTGTGTTTCACAGGAGAAGTAAAGTGTGGGTTGGGAATCGAGATATTTCATTGTTGTTTTTTGATGCTTTTGTTGTCAATTCTCAAACATGCATTCACCAATGTATAGGGAACACTATAACAAAATACTACAATTTCCAGCACAGCTACAACTGAATCTTCAGTGTCATGGAGCTTGAGATATTCTTTTAATGAGTCTCAGACAGCTCTTATTATTTATTTATTTTTCAATTGGTAATTCTCTGTGAGTTTTACCAATCTCCCCCTGGGTGGGGATACACACGATTTGTGTGTTGTCTGTTTGGGAGTGGAGCATGCACGGGCAGCCCTCGAGCCCATCTCAGACCTCACCCATTAGATCCACGGCTCCCTCTCAGGGATCGGAAGCCTACCCCACGGTTTCTTCCATGAGAGAGAGAGCTATGCGCTTCATCTATCTTCCTCCGAGGAGATTGATGTAATGAGCGTCGACACGGAGGAGACTGCGGACTCGTCACCTCAGTCCCTCGCATATGAGGAGCTAGTGGAAGTTGTGACTCGCGCTGTAGTCAAGCTCAACATCGATTGGCCAGCCGAGAAACAGGACGCTCGTCCCAAAAGCAAACTGGACGAGCGTTTCTTTAAAGCTAGATCGCAACCTTTACGTCGGGGCCTTCCATTTTTCCCCGATCTCCATGCCGAGGTGTCAAGATCGTGGGAGAAACCGTATTCATCCCGACTCTTCAGCCCTACAGTCAAGAACTACTTTAACATCGTGGGGCTGAATGAGAAGGGTCATGGGGCGATGTCGGCGGTGGAGCAGACGCTCGCGAGTTATCTCTCCCAGTTCTCAGCATCGTCCCTGAAGGCCCCGAAGCTTCCCACCGGGCCAGTAAAGCTAACATCTAACCTGGTTGGGAAAGCTTATATGGCGGCAGGTCAGGCCGGTGCGTGTCTGCACACTATGGCGGTGTTGCAGGCATACCAGGCCAACCTGATAAAAGACCTGGATGAAAGGAAGGAAGAGGAATCTGACATAGTCGCCGAACTATGTCGGGCCACGGATCTGTCGCTTCGGGCCACTAAAGAGACAGCCAGAGCCATCAGCTGTTTAATGGCAGCATTGGTGGCCACGGAGAGGCATCTGTGTTTGAATCTGTCCAAATTACAAGACAAGGACAGATTCTTCCTTCTGGATGCCCTGCTATCAACTATCAAAATAGTTTCAGAGACTATTGGGTCTGATGGCAGCTGCGTCCAACATGATAACTTTTGGCCTGCTGTATATGAGACCCTTGCCCAGGACCATGGGGTTTTCCCCGAAGGGGAACCCGCTTCGCACAATAAAGGTCATGCGGCGATGCTTACGTGCCTTAGACATGTGGAAGAAACCTTGGTTCCTATCTCAAGGCCCGTCGCTAGGGGCTCCTTGTCGTCGTGTAACGCTAACGATGGACGCCTCCCTCACGGGTTGGGGTGCGGTCATGAGTGGCCGCTCTGCCCAAGGTCTGTGAGAAGACCATCATCTCATCATGGCACATAAACTGCCTGGAGGTGCTGGCCGTGTTTCGAGCTCTAAAACACTTCCTTCCAGACCTAAGGGGACATCATGTGCTTGTCCGCACAGACAACACATCGGTGGTCTCCTCTATCAACCGGCAGGGGGGTCTGCGCTTTGAGAATTGAGCGCCTCTCACCCGCGTTTTGGGTCTCGCGGCTGCTGAGGCAGTTAATCAGACCGATCACGGGGATTGTAGGCGGGACATGGAAGGAATCTGACAAGGAGTGCTTTCTCTTTCAGAATTCCTTTTTGGTTTTATTTTATTTTACAGAATAGGAACTGTGTATAATGTGAGATATCTACATTATTGGTGAAGGAGGCTCCTGACTTGGTGTAATGGCAAGTTTTTTTGAGTTGTTAGGCTCTTGTTTGAGCCTCCTTTGATCCTCCTCATCCTCTCAGCCCAGGTACGTGAATATTTAGGTTGAGAAGAGAGTTATACTGAGCACTCTGCTCCCCAGTATTTTCATTTGCAGATATTTCAGGGTTTTTGAGGCTCTCTGTGAGCCTCCCTGATCAGCTGTTCATGACCCTGGTAGCTCCCCCTCCCTTTGAGGGTCGCTATGCTGAGATCACAGTTCCTAGTGTTCTTTCAACAGAGCTCTGTGGCTGTTTTAGGTTGTTAGGCTCTTGTGGGCCTCCTTGATAAGTCGCTCTTAGGTCGAGCTTTTGAGTACTCCCCTCACTTGAGGTCTTCGTACTGAGTACGCTGATCCATAAGGGTGGGTGGTTGCACTCCCCTTGCTTTAGAGGGTTGGTATGTTGAGTGCTTGCTCCCTAGAGGAATTCCTTTTTTGTTTTATTTTATTTCACAGAATAGTAACTGTGTATAATGTGAGATATCTACATTATTGGTGAAGGAGGCCCCTGACTTGGTGTAATGGCAAGTTTTTTTGAGTTGTTAGGCTCTTGTTTGAGCCTCCTTTGATCCTCCTCATCCTCTCAGCCCAGGTACG